AATAGGTGCATCTTGCAGAACATTCTAGAGGTATGTTTAAGGATATACTTTTAAAAATTCATACACACACACACACGCACATATATTATCAGATACCTGTGATTACATAATAAAAACTATTTTATGTTAGTATTGGAGTTCATATCTAGTCTTCTTTATTAATTAGGCTTTAAAATTCTGATTTTAAGGATGCATGAAAATGAAGCTACTACGTTATTTAAGGCAATATCTGAGGTCAAATAGAACCTCACATTTAAATTATGCTGAAATGACGGAGTTTTATTTTGATGCCCAAATACCAGGAAATGCAATCACATGGACTTCCCACCATAATTCTTTGTTATGATTTGTTGAAGATTATTCATACCTATTAAGAATTCAGAGCCCTGGTGGTGCAGTGGTTAAGAACTTGGCTGCTAACAAAAAGGACAGCAGTTCGAATCCACCAACCACTCCTTGGAAACCCTATGGAACGGTTCTCCTCTGTCCAGTAGAGTTGCTATGAGTCTGAATGGACTCGACGGCAACATGTTTGGTTTTTGGTTTTTATTAAGAATTCACATGGTAAAAGTTAGAAAGTTTCTGCTGTAACTTTATACTTTAAACTGTGAATGTTAACCTGCAGTCTGGAGTAAAAAGGAATCTATGATCTTCGTAAAAATTGAGAGCTAAACCATGTTGGAGATGTGTGTAAATTTATGTCCTATCCATTTGCTCTTTTTTCGTTTTTTGACTTTTTATTTTTGAAAATTCAAACCATACACAAAATGAAAGTAATTATATGAAGAGAATTGTATGATGCTGGGTAAATTATGTATCACCCATGAGTTATCAACTCATGGCCAGCTTTTATCTCCTTTTCCCTTTTGAAACAAATCTCAAACATTGTTTCATTTCATTGATAAATATTTCATTAGGTATCTCTGAGAGAGAAGAACTTTTTTTTGACATAACTTCAATATCATTCATATTTTTAAATGGCCAGTGTTCAAATTTCCCTATTTGTCTCATAATTCTTTTTTTACAGTGGGTTTATTGGAATCAGGATCCAAATAACATCCATACATTGCAGGTGATTGATATCTCTTAAGTGTTTTTTAATGTATCGTTTTCCCACTTCTTCACACTTTCTCTGTTTCAAAGTATTTATTGAAGAAATTGGGTTATTTGTCTTGTAGAGGTTCTCAGAGTATATTTTGCTGACTGCATCCCCTTGTTTAACATGTTCTTCTTTTGCCTGTATTTTCAACAAATTGGTAGTTAGAGTTAAAGGCTTGATCAGATTTAAGTTTTAATTTTTGGCCAGAGCACCTAATAGATAAAACCTGTTGCTGTCAAGTCGATTCTGACTCATAGAGACCCTATTGGACAGAGTAGAACTGCCCCATAGGGTTTCCAAGGAGTGGCTGGTGGATTTGAACTGCTGAACTTTTGGTTAGCTGCTGAGCTGTTAACCACTGCACCACCGGAGCTCCGCCTAGTAGGTAGTGGTGTGTATTTCAGTCAGGAGGCATATATTTGTTTGTCTCTTTTATACTAATAACAGCCATTTGATGATCATTGCCTAGATCTGTCATTTCATTAAGCATTGTAAATTGTGATATTCTAATTCTATTCTTCTTTCTTCATTTATTAGCTGGAATATTTTTATAAAGTAATGTTTCTCCATAACAATCATTTGGTTACACCAAAAGAGAGTTCTTAAGAGAATAGGCAGGTTAAATTCTGGATTCTTTCCTTTTATTTAGCAATTTTCAAAATAATGAATTGAAAATCTAACATACTCAAAAGGTGACTAATAAGGCTTTTTTCCCTTTATATTATTATAAACTCATGTATTTGAAGTATTTTAAGTTCTTCGCTGTTCTTATTTTATTGTACTTTAGATGAAAGTTTACAGAACAAACTAGCTTCTCATTAAATGGTTAGTATTCATATTGTTTTATGACATTGGTTAACAACCCCAAGGCATGTCAACACTCTGCCTTCTCAACCTTGGATTCCCTATTACCAGCTTTCCTGTCCCCTCTTGCCTTCTAGTCCTTGCCGCTGGACTGGTGTGCCCGTTTAGTCTCGTTTTGTTTTGTGGGCCTGTCTAATCTTTGGCTAAAGGGTGAACCTCAGGAGTGACTTCATTACTGAGCTAAAAGAGTGTCTGTGGGCCATTTCTCAGGGTTTCTCCAGTCTCTGTCAGGCCAGTAAGTCTGCTCCTTTTTTTTTTTTTTTTTGTGAGTTAGAATTTTGTTCTACATTTTACTCCAGCTCTGTCCGGGACAATACACACAGAATGCTCTCAGAACTAACAATATTATTACTTAAAAAGCAGTGTAGAATTTTTCCTTAAGATAGATACTATGTGGCAAAAAATAAAGATTGGGTTCTTTTTTAAAAAATTATCTAAGACCAAATGGTCAACAGCTATTTTAAAGCATTGATGAGAAGATTGGGAGGCATGGAGTTTAAGTTAATGGTAGTGAAACAAATAGAACAGAAATAACGAGAACGTTGATACAGTCTGAAGAATGTAACCAGTGTCACTGATCATTCTGTCTGGAAACTGAGAGTGAGCGTAGGTTTTGCTGTGTATAGTTTCACCAAAAAAAAAAAAAAAAAAAAAAGATACATCCCATGTGGGATGAACAGTTAATCATTGTGTTTTAAAGTCACTTGAAATAATTCCTGTTTGTGGGGTTTTTTTGTCACCAACCTGATGAACAAGTTCATTTGTTTAATTTGCTTTGGTTATTTAAGAATCACTTTTTAAAAATTAAATGTAATTTTGTAACTATGTTAAGTAGTTACATAGTTCCACAATCAAATCTATAAACCAAGAGGTACTGGAAGAAATCTAGCTTCTATCCTGCCCCTCCACACTTTCCCTTCCTCACTCTATAAATCACTTTTTTAAAAAAAAGTTTTAGTTTATATACCTACATACCTATCTGTCCCTTGTCCTAGATAAGCAGTAGCATACTGTGCGTACTTTTCTCCACCTTGCTTTTTTTTTTCAGTTTACAGTATATCCTGGAGATCATTCTACAGTATGCATTGTCAACAGAGGATATCACCTCAAGGTGAAAAAATCTTGGATAGTACAGTGGTTTGTGGCCTTCCCAAGGGCCAGAGAACATAAGCAGATATACAGTATTATTGTCTTATTTGTCTGGTATTGAAATTGCATGGGGGCAGGTGTGATTAGAAAAAAAAAAATTTCTAAAAAGACTCCTTAGGGGGGCAGTAATGGAATAAAGGTTGAGAAGCACGGCTTTATAGCAGTATATAGAAGTATTCCTCAATTCTTTTAAATATGTATAGTGTCTGTTTAAGAATCTATCGTAATTTATTAAGCTAATCCCCTATTGGTCAGCATTTAGGTTGTGTCCATTCCCTAGCAATTATAAACAGTGCTACAATATACATATGTTCTTTTGTATTTTTGCCAGTGTATCTTTGGGACAAACTCCAAGAAGTAGAATTCCTAGGTCTAAGGGTAATTGCCTTTATAATTTTGCTAGATACTGCCAAATTCCCTTTATGGCAATGTTTTAGTTTTATATTAGTGAAAATGTTCTAAATGAGTTTATTGTGAGAGGTTGGTACCATTTATGAGAACCTTATTAGTCTTCTAATTAGTTGTAAGAAATATAATTTTCATATTGCAGAATGAGAACTTATGCATTATTTCATTTATCAGATTTGTTTCAAAATTATCACTACACCTACTTACCAGATATTTTTAAAAGAAGAACAATGGGTCTATCTAAAAGGTCACATAGTTTTAATTAAAATTTGTGCCACATCTGGTCTTTAGACAGTTGCCTACATTAAGGGTTTGTTTTCAGTCAAATGTAGTATATGTATATTTTTGAATGTTTGTTTTTAAAATTTCCCCCCAAAGATAGAGCTTTTTAAAAATGTTTTTTATCCTGGGGTATAAACAGATTTCCCATTGACCTGTTTCACTTTAAGTTTTGAAATACCTTGGGCCAATTAAATAGTTTAGGTTTCGTCAACCCATTGCTTTTATGAAGCATGAGATTGTGTGGCAAAATCTGTTTGTATATGAAGGTACTCATATTTAATCCCCTGCAGAGTAGGAACTGCTTGGGACCATTCTTATCATTTGGATAGCACGCTCTTTTTCTAGGGAAAAGATTCCAAAACTCTTTAGTGATACCTTCCTTTACAATTCCCATAACTCTCCCCAGACTAGAGTCCTTTTCACTTTGTCTCTTAGGTGGGATCCGTAAATATTAGAAGCAGAACATTGTATTTTACGAGGAAAAAAAGGCCATGGATCGGATGTAACTCAGTATTTTTGTATCTCGTAGTCTTCTGTTCTAGTGACTTTCAGTTTGATGATCTGAGGGATGTTGCACAGTAACACAAAGTGATCATGACAAAGATTGAATTGAGTCACTCTGTACCTGTAGTCCTTCAGATATTTATATGCACCTAGACCTGGTGAGGCAGTGGTTAAGAGCTACAGCAGCTAACCAAAAGGTCAGCAGTTTGAATCCACCAGCCGCTCCTTGGAAACCCTATGAGACAGTTCCACTCTGTCCTATAGGGTTGCTGTGAGTCACAGTCAACTTGAAGGTAGTGGGTTTGGTTTTGGTTAGAACAGGGCTTAGCACACAGTAGGTACTTGTATTGAATAGATGAATGGTTGGGGAGCTACAGGCATTGACATTCAGTAAATGGTAAATGAGGAAAGGACTTAGGACACCTGACTCTTGCCTGTGAAAAGCAGTCATAAAATTCACCAGGTAATCATGTTTTGAGAACTCTTTGGATATAAAGAGAAAAATAGAATTTGGGAGATTGAGTGGAATTATCTGTTACTTTGGTAACTTAAAGGATGCCATTTTAATAAAACATCTCATTATTGCACAGGTACTGTCTGCTAGAAAAGTTTACCTACTATGTTTTCTTTGACCCGGAGTGAATTTGTAGTTTTTGATGAATACATAGATAATATTTTTTTTCTTCCTTTGTAGGCATTTGGGATCACAGCTTTGTGAATTAGAAAAACTAATAGATAAAATGATGATTGCAGAATTTTCTACTTATTCTCACAGTGACTTAAATAGACCACTGGAAGATGACTGTCAAATTTTAGAAGAGGTATGTGTTTTGAACTGTGGAATGAAATTGATGTTATTGCTTAGTTTTAATTCCTAAGAGCCAAAGTTTAGAACATATTCTTCTCAGCTTATATTGAGCAAGATGGTCTTAAATTGTTAAGGTCTATCAGACCTATCAAGTCCTTCACTAGTTGTATGACCTTAGCCCTTAGCAAGTCCCATAATCCTTTGAAATCAGAGAATAAAAAGAAATTTTAAAGCTTACTAAGAAACTGGAGTTAAAATGAGGTTTTTACAGTTTACAAACAAAGTTCAAAACATAGATATAGGATGAATTAACTTTATTCATCTGCATGCATGCACTGGAGTATGTCTTGTATTATTATCATATGGTTATTTATCAGTCATTCAAGTTGAGCTTCTATTATGAACATGTTTTATGTGTACACATGTACATCAATTTAGGCTTCACTTATCTGGTTACTTCTCAGTGTGGATTGTTGCCAAGAACTAATAGAGAATCTAAAAAGCCCCGATAAAAGCCTAAGTAAAAGAGATTTTTTTACATGGTAGCAGAGAGTTCAGGTCATCATTCCAGTGTTCTAGACCACTAAGGAAAAATTACAGGGCTCATGAAGTATTTATTGGTCATCAGAGCTTGAGAGATACTTTTTTCTTTTTTTTAAACAAGACCTAAAAATATCCTAGTATTTGCCCCCAAACCGGCTTTGTTTGAGTCACTGTGGTAGAACAGGATTTATCTGTTCTAGAGCATTGACTCCAAAAATCTGATGACAAGATTGCTATGGGAGATGCCTTTCCAGGCTTCTAGAAAATACCATATGCAGGATAAAGATCTGAGGATCAAGCAATAAAAACCTTGATGCTGAATATTTCTACCTCTAAGTGAGATTATTTCATATTTAAAATGTGAAATTGTATATTCTTATTTTCATAGGAAAGACTAGTATCTCTTGTGTTTGGACTTTTAAAACAAAGAAAACTCAATTTTTTAGAAATCTACGGTGAAGAAATGATTATTACAGCAAAGAATATCATTAAACAGGTAATATACATTTTTATTTGATTTATTTTGGTCTCGAATCTTTTGCCAAGTTTTTTTTTTTTTTTTACATTATCGTGGTAATAATACATGCAGTATAATATGTGCTTATTTATATATAAAATTGAAAATATAGACAAACAGAAGGAAAAAACCATAACCCTGCCAGCCAAAAGATTGCCACTTTAAGAATATTTCTATGTGTAGATTGTTACTGATGTGTTTCATTGTTGCCATCATACTGTATATATGATTTAGATTTGTTCATATTTCAGTTAGAGTCATAACATAGCATTTTCTCATGTTATTATATAAGGCTTCAGAAATACCATTTTTAATGATTGCACAAAATTCCATCAATACTATGTTCGTTAACATTTACTCAAGCATGTCCTCTATGTTGAATATTTATGTTGTTTTCAGTTTGATGCTGTAAATTACATGGTAAGAAACGTCTTTGATATAAAGTTTTTTTTTTCATATTTAGGACTGTTTTCTTAGGACTAATTCACAGAAGTAGAATTATTGATCAGAGTGAAGAGTATTTTTAAATTGTTTGATACATAGAATTGAATTGCTGTCTGAAAAGATCTTAACAATTTATACTCCCACCAGCAGTAGATAATGTTTCCTTGATCTCTGAGAAATTGTAATTATAAACTAAAATCCCTGTATTCTTTAGACTTCCCTGATTTTTGTTTTGACTTTTTTACTCAGATAAATTTCATTCACTGAACTTCAGTTTTTCTATACAGTCAACTCTCCGTGTCTGCAGATTCCGCATCCGTGGATTCAACCAACTGGTTCGAAAATACTGGGGTGGGAGAAGTTCCAAAAACCAAAACTTGAATTTACTACACACTCAAGCATTAAACTGAATCTACACAAATGAGATGATGTATGGGCATCCCCTGCTGTAGCCTGCTGCCATTTCACAGATCCTCAGTCTCTCTCCAGTACTCTTTGAGCATTGTTTGCCATGCGTCCTGCCATTGTTCCCTAAACAATACAGTATAACAACAATTTACATAGTATTTACATTGTGTTAGGTGTATCTAGAGATGATTTAAAGTATACAGGAGGATGTGCATAGGTTACATGCAAATACTATGCCATTTTATATAAGGGACTTGAGCATCTGCAGATTTAGGTATGCCCTGGGGGTTCTGGAACTAATTCACCGAGGATACCAAGGGATGACTGTATATGAAAATATAACGTGTAATATAATATAATGTTAAATGTATTTATTTGGTTTAATTGATGATCATCATTAGATGTACATGCATGAGTTTTTAGTGTTTAAATAAAACAAGCAAAAAGATTACAATCACCCCCTTTTACCTCTCTTAGACACTAATTAAAACACTGTATTTTTAAATTGACACAATTATGTTAGATAATTGTTGGTAATATCTACGAATGCTAAACATACACATATTTTGTGACCCAGCGATTGTATTCCTAGGTGCATACCCAATAGAAATTTATTGTATACAGAAGTTCACCAAAAGACAGTACAAGAGTGTTCATGGCAGCGCCATTTGTAATAATTCAAAACTATAAACAACCCAATAGAAAGGATAAATAGAATTGTGGTATATAATACTATACGGTATTAAGAATGAATAAATTCCATGCTACAGCATTGATAAATATCACAGACGTAATGTGGAGCCAAAGAAGCCAAACACAGAAGGGTATATATACTAAATGATTCCATTTATATAAAGTTTAAACAGGGAAAATTAATCTATTGTATTAGACGCTGGCTGGGATAGTAGTTTTTTGGGGGAGGCAGGAGTGACTGGGAGGGGACCAGGAAAGGGACCTCTGGGTACTAGTAATACTCAATTTCTTGAGTTTAGTACTGGTTACACAGATGTATTCCATTTGTAAAAAATTTTTGAGCTGTAATCATAATTTGTACAGTTTTCTTTGTATATGTTTATACTTTAATAAAAAATTTTTTTAATTGCTCTGTTTTAATTCCCAGACTTCTCTTGAAGTCTAAGCATTTATTTATTTTTTTAAAAACCCTTTAAATTTTTGAGTGTATAACAAGGAACTATAACCTCCAAAATGAATTCATTTTGGAATTTTAATATGAAACTTAAACCTTGTTCCTAAGTATTATAGTTCTCTTTTCTGGTGTACGATTTTGAACAGTTTTAAATAATAGAAGTTTTAAAATTTATTGTAGTTAAGCAAATATTATAGTTCAGACATATGTAGTTCAAGCATAATTATTTAATAGGGCAAAGGTAATGCTGCAGTTTTTCAGACACCTTGAAGTATGTGTAAGAGATCCAAAAGAAGCCTAGTAAAATGATGATTATAGTCAGCGAGGTCCTTTTTAATGTACAGATGAAACATGGAGTATTTACGATTCTGAAGACAGCTAATCAGATTGTTTCTGTTTTTTCTTTAATTTTCAGTGTGTGATTAATAAAGTTTCTCAAATAGAAGAAATAGATACTGATGTCGTTATGAAGTAAGTATACGTATACAGCTTGGGGGTTATCAGTCAGGGACAAGACAACACATCCAAATTAGAATAATTTAAGGAAGATTTAGTGAAGGAATTATTTACTAAGGTGTGAACAGGGTATAGGAAAACCACAAGTGACAGTGCAGTACCTTTGAAGGGACTAGAGAAGAGAGCAGTTAACAGAATCTAGAAAGAGAAAGACGTGTTGTTGTTAGCTGCTATCGAGTTGATTTCAACTCATAGCAACCCCAATGTGACAGAGTAGAACTGCCCACATAGGATTTCCAAGGCTGTAATCTTTATAGGAGCAGATCCCCAGGTCTTTCTCTTGCGGAACCATTGGGTAGATTCAAACTGCCAACCTTCAAGTGCAGCTGAGCACTTAACCACTGAGCCACCAAACCAAAAAGACCAAACCCATTGCCATCAAGTCAATTCCGACTTATAGAACTGGGTAGAACTGCCCCACAGAGTTTCCAAGAGGCACTTGTTGGATTCAAATTGCCAACTTTTTGGTTAGCAGCCATAGCTCATAACCACTATGCCACCAGGGTTTCCACTGAGCCACCAGGGCTCCTGAAAGACATGTAATAGTTGAGAAAAGCTATGCCCTTCAGTGGAGGGACTCAGTCTTCCTGAGGCAACCCTTTACAAGGGCTTCTCATTGACCAAGCCCAGCCGGTCAACTTTCCAGGGCAGATAGCAGGTTAAAGAGGAATACAACATAAATATGCAGGGGGGAAATGGAAGATAATTCTTTACAGAGGAATGGCAAGTATAAGTTTAAATTATTAAGCTATATAATTAAAAGCCAGCTTCTGATTGGCTTTGAAAAGTTTTGAATGAGTGATTTTGAATTGCCCTTGTAGTGTGATCTCTTACTTTTTCCCCCAGAGTTTTCAAGTCTGTTATTTTTTGTTTTCACTCTTGAAATTCCTATTCTTTTATTTTGAGAAGAATAATAATATTTTAAAATGATGACTTTCTCATTCATATAGATATGTAAACTTCTATCAACTGGTCTAAGAGATGAATTATGAGCAACTGAGAAGTTTTCCTGGCCCAAACCCAGAGAGAGTAGGGATTGTGGAGTTTTCACTTCCATACTATTACATGGTGAAAACTGAGTTTGAAAATTAGTTGAAGCAACCATAATGATGTGGGAATCAATAGTAATTGGAAAAATAAGTTATGGGAACTCTGTAGAAGCACCATGGACATGGAGAGTCTGTTACTTCTTAATTTTCTCCTTCCCTAGGGAATTTTTTCAACTAACATAGAGAACTTCTTATATCTCAAGTACAGGAAAGAGTATCTTTGAGAATATCTCTCTTAGATACAGCAGCATTCACTAAAAATTGAGAGTAATAAGTCATTTTAGTACTATATCTTTATGGAATTCTGTTTTGCACTAATTTTTTTCATGTTGAAATTACTGATGTTAGCTATAAAAATAACAATGTTAGCTAATATATAACACTTTTTATGTAATAGGCATTGCTCTAAGTACTTTATATATGTTAACTCATTTAATATTCACCACCACCATATAAAGTAGGTTCTGTTACTATCCTCATTTTAAGATGAGAAAATTGGGGCATAGAGGGATTAAGTCACTTTCCCAGGCTCACACAGCTAATGAAAGGCAGAGCTGGGACTTGAAGCAAGGCAGTGTGGCTCCAGGGCCCATGCTCTTACACCATGCCATATTTCCTCTCATATGTTTAAAAGTACTTTTTAGTGTAGTTAGAAAAGTAGGTTATTAGATTTGTGGGGGGAGATGTTACTATTTTCACTCCAGACTATATCTTCCACACTTTTAGCCACTATATGGTTTATTTATTCAGTGTCATGAAATAATGTTCACGTGAAATTTACTCTGTACTAAGGTTCATATGTTTGTGCATATGACAAGACTAGAGTTAGAGATGTTTAAACAAGGAGGAGTTGTTTGGTAGTTGATCTCATCAACTCAAGATTTTATAATTTTAGTTAGATATCTAAATGAAATTGTTTTATTTTTCCACTACTAGATAGTATTTAATATAGTTTCCACCAATCTATAAATGTTATTGGCCCAGAGACAATCCTTATTTTTGTTTCAATTATTTTTTTTCTAGGCTTGCAGATCAGATGAGAATGTTGAATTTTCCCCAGTGGTTTGATTTGCTGAAGGATATTTTCTCTAAATTTATAATTTTCCTACAGAGGGTTAAGGTAAGCTTATGTGATTACCACTTTGCCCAGAATAGTCCGTAAAACTGCCAGCTTTCTAGATACATAATGTATAAATGGAATCAAACTAGAATAAAACAATTTTTTTGCTTTTGTAGTTTTCTTACAGCAACCTTGGTTTTAAACAAGGTTTGAAGCTATTCAGTATATTTTCACAATTTTTTATAATTTTAGATGATTTATTTTATATAGAAAAGAATACTTTATACTAAAAAATACTGTTTGCCTTGTATTAAATATTATACAGTAATATTTCCTCTTGTGGTTTTGTGATACTTGACTCTCTCTAGATATTTAAAGGTACAATATTGAGAAATTCTTAAAAATCTATCCAAACCATTTGATTTTTCTAGAAATTTAAGGTGATATAATAGTATTTTCCAACATACAGTCCATATTCACATTGTCCCACTAATGTCCTTTTATTTCATTTTTCTATCTGGGATTCAATCAAGGATCATGCACTGCATTTAATTATCATGTTTTCTGGCCAAACTACTTAATTTTAAGCCACTTACTATAAGGAAAAGAACACATGCCACACAGCATTTTTCAGAAAAAAAGATGTCACAGACTGTACGTGTCGGTTGGAATTACAAGCATGTAATAGCTGTGTTTTAATAAGAAGACAGTCATTAGGAATTACTGGGTATCACAGTTGAAAAAGACCATGTGTGAAATTTGATATTCTTTAAGTTATCAAGTTTTAGTATTGTGTCATATGTGCTAGTTAAAATTGACAGCATTTCAGAGTACCACGTTAAATGGTCTGGAAGACTTTGGTACTTGTCTTTGACGTGGTTTTTTTAAATTGACATTGGAGCAACAGTAGGTTAGTAGCATAAGCTCTAACAGGGTAGAAAAAGTTTTATAGAATGTGATTCACTGTACTCCATTTCGACAACTCCTAAACATGTTAATCCTACCCGTTGATAGTGATTAAGAGCAAACCTGTATATATGGATTTCTCAGTAACTAGGCCATGTTTTTACTTTTCTTTATAGTCCCACTATGACCTCATTATCACACACTTTTATTGTTGTATGTCTGGATACATATTATTCCTATATTCCATAGTGTAGAATTTGCCAACTTTTTGCCAGTAATTTTTTTAGTAGCTACTCTCCTTTTAGGTTCTATATCAGTTAAAGTCAAATTATTATATGATGTATGTACAGTATATGAACAGTGATTTGTTATAGTTGTAATTGCTCATTTCGCATTTAGGTCATTTAAACTAGTACTTCTATAGAACCTCTTTGAACATATAACCTTCAAATATGGTACTTTTTTTTTTAAAGTTTTGTGATTCTGTAAGGATATGATTTTACTGAAAAATAGTGTTAATTACAAGCTGTTCATTTCTAATGAATAATTTTTTAATAACTAAAAATTGGAAATAGCTATATGTCTCACAATAGAGAAATGGCAAAATGAATTATGCCTGTTATATCCTTTTCATGGAATATCATGCAACAAGGATTTTTAATGATAGAAGAAAATGCATAATTATAACATAAAGTAAAAAGACCAGATATACCCATTGCTATTGAATTGACCCATGGTGTCAGAGTAGAACCGTGCTTCATAGGGTTTTCAAGGCTAATTTTTCGAAAGTGGCTAGTTAGGTCTTTCTTCCACCAAGCCTCTGGGTGGACTTGAACCTCCAACCTTTTGGTTAGCAGCTGAATGTGTTAACCATTTGCAATACCCAGGACTCCATGTTAGAATTTTTTTCTCTTTATTTATCTTCATAGACCAAAGAGACAGTCAAATTGTCTTTTAAGTGGTTATTTTTAGGTGGTAGGATCATATGCAATTTTAATCTTCTGTTTATTCTTTTCTATTAAGTTTTCTATGAAAAGAGGTATTACTTTTATATAATTAGAAAAACTCGGTTTTTAGAAAGGAGTGTTTACTTTGTTACAAGTATAAACTAATTTGAAGCTCTAATTTACCAGACTTATTTACTGTCCTGCATTCTTAGAATTTATTTCACAAAAACAAAGTAGATTCCATATGTTTCTTTGGTATCAAAATAAATTATATTTCTTTTAAAAGAAATTGAAGCTTAAAATTTAGCCAGAACATTTCAATAATATGTTTAGTTTAAATGAAGAAAGAATAAAAAGATTGGGGTTTGAAAATTTTATATTTGAGTGATTATTAATGACTTAAGGATTTATATTGCTGTTAACTGAATTTTGAATTTTTAAAAAAATTCTTGTTTGCTGTCTGTATTCCAGGTTAGGCTGATTCGTATAGCTAAAAAGAAAATAATCCTTAAATATATCTTACATTCCTTTCAAGCAATTTTTAGTTCTTAAATTTTTATTTTGTTATGTGGAGAACTAATCTTGGTCTATTATTTTGAGACATCAACATGGTTACCGCAGTATTTTATTTATTCACGCTATTCTTAAGGCTGGAAAATTATATTTTGTCTAGTTATTCTGGTGTTTTTGAAATGAACGTGACTACAGACTGCTGTAATAGATAAGTTCAGAAAGTAAGTTATGCCCCTATTGTTAAACCTGTTATGCCTGGAAAATCTGATTTTTTGGAGATCAGCAAGAATGGCTCTGGACTTGGAAAAAATAATTAGAAAAACCTCTTAAACTATAGTGAAAACAGCAAAGAAGAATTGTTAAGAGAACACCTGATACGCTGTTTATGGAAAATATATTATTTTATCAGCTAAAATGTCGTCAGTTAAAAGTGACAAAATATTCAAATCAAACTAGTTTGAACAATAAAAGAAATATATAGGCCCAAGTAATTAAAATTAGTCTAAGAGTAAGCTAGGTTTCAGGCCTAGTTTGATCCTGGCTTTCCAGCTCATGTTCTTTATTAATTCAGTTCTACCTTTCTCTTTGTGTTGGCTTCATCTTTAGACTGACCCAACCTCAAGGTAGCAAAATGACTACAACAGTCGCTGGTCTGCCACGTCTGCTTACCACGCCCTCTAGAACAAGAGAATTTTTCTTCCCCATCATCAAATGAAAGTCCCTGGCTTCAGTTGGCTTGGACCAGTTTAGTTCACATGTCCAGTCATTGTGGTCAGGGAAATGGCATGCACTGATTGGGTTAGGTCTGGATTGTCTTTTCATCTCTGAACTAGTCATGGAGGCAAAGAGGTTGGGAGTACATTGTTTGAGCTATTTACAACCCATACCTGAAGCTGGAATGTGTGCTTAGTTCTTCCCAAATTGTATAGCTGCTGTACCATAGGGGAGGTACAGAATAGATATTAGGGAGGGAAAGACCATGTCCATCATCATGGTCTTTTTATAAGCAAAAAAGTTAAAGAAAAGCAATGAGACGGGAGATGAGGAGAAGAAAGAGAAAGTAAAGGTGAGGGAAGCAGGCACATCAAAGATTAAGACAATAGTGGGGATTAAAAGCAGCAATGATGGAGGGTAGCAAGCAGCAAATCTGTGACAGTAGAGAAAAAGTTAATGATCAATGAAGAAAGAGAAAAAAAAAAGCAGTATCCATAGACACTTTGATACCTTAGCCTTCGAGGGCACCCAATCTCTGCTATATACTGTATGGGTTATTGAATTACTTAGAATACTTACAGTTCCAAATAATAGGAAACACAGCTCAGAATGTCTTAAACAATTAAGAGGATTTATTAGCTCAGATGACTGAAAAATATCCAGAGGTAGCCTGTACATGCTTGATAGAGAGGTTTATGATTCATCAAGCTTCGGCTTTGTTTCTCTGCAGTTTTCAGTCTGTCTTCTTTATATTTTCTTTAGTAGCATTAAGCTCAGCACTTCCATGTGCTGATTTGACTAGCTTAGACCCTTGTTCTATCTTTGGAGACCTGAAGTTGACCTGTCTTTGGAGACCTGTTTCCCTAAAACCATGTAGATCCTGAAAAAGAAATCAAGGGCTTTGAGGAATGGAACAATACATTATTAGAATGTTCTCATGAATGTTAAAGTAGGTAAATAACCTCTTATTTCTTAATAATCCATAAAGACACTAATTTACATAAATCTACTATTCATGCACTTAGCTTTTAATATTTATTGATCACCTTCTATGTGCCAGACACTATTGTAGACATTAGGGTTAGTGTCTCTTATAGAGCTAACATTACAGTGGAAGGAGACAAATAAACAGATCATTTTAGGTAGTGATAAATGTTATTTTAAAAATGAGTAATAGGATAGAGTTGCTGGATGAGAATCAGGGAAAGCCTCTTTGAGGAGATGACACTTGTGTCAGAATTTGAGAGATGAGAAGAACTATGTATGCAGAGTTCAAGGAGAAGAGCATTCAAGGCAGAGGAAACAGCAAAGTGGGAATGATCTTGAAATGTTAGAAGAACAGAAAGAGAACCAGAATGTCTGGAAATTAGTGAATGATGGAAGTTATAAGATAAGGAGCGGTGGACAGGGGCTAGACATGATAAGGAATGCGGATTTTTTATCTTTTAGTCAGGCACATCAACTGATACGGCTCTGATAGGCAAGTTAAAGTATGTTGAATGTAACCTGTTTAAGAGGTTAGAGAAATGTGCAATATGTTTTAGGGTGATTCCCATTTATAAAATCAATTGAAATACAGGAACTCTGTTCCTAAGTGTTAGTGAACTAAACTAAATTCTCCTGAGCAGTTCGTTTTCACAGGTCACCTTTATTGTACAATAAAAAATTAGTAGACGTTCCAATATACATAATTTTAACTCGTTTATAATCGTAAAATGTTCAAAATTACGTGCACAGAATTCACGTTTGGGAACTTTAGGTGCAAGATATTTTAAGTCCTTTAAAAATGATCCTGCTTTTTTCTAGGCAACATTAAATATCATTCATAGTGTTGTTCTCTCAGTTCTTGACAAAAACCAAAGGACTAGAGAATTGGAGGAGGAGATTTCACAAGGGAAGAATGCTGCAAAGGACAATTCGTTGGACACAGAGGTGGCTTATTTAATCCACGAAGGCATGTTTATAAGTGATGCATTCACTGAGGGTGAATTAACACCTACAGCAGTGGACGCTACCTCTCAAAGAAATGCATCTCCAAATAGTGAGCCCTGCAGCAGTGATTCGGTGTCTGAACCAGAATGTACTACTGATTCTTCATCCAGCAAAGAGCAGACATCATCATCTGTTACTCCAGGAGGTGTGGATATTATGTGAGTATAGAGCCTACTGTTAAATTTACGGACAAGACTTTGAGTCATTTTAGTAATGGTTTCAATAAGGTTGATTATTCATTTTATTGGAAAAAAACATGTAAACTTTGGTCTTGGAATTTAATTTAACAAAAATATATCACCTTCACAGAACTTGTTTTTTTTTTTTTTTTGTGAAAATGTGTAAAAAGTAAGGAGGTGAGCATTAGAAGTAATTGGGAATTGTGGAATTGATTTTTGTGCATAGTATGAGTTTGAGTTTCCTTTTTCCCAATATAGAAATTCATTTAACCCATGACTGTTTATTAAGAAGGCTGTCTTATCCATTGTTCTGTAGTGACACCTTTGTCATAAATTAAATATTCATTTATTTGTGGGGTTGTTTCTGGACTACTTTGTTCAGTTGTCTGTATCATTAAGTAAAATAGGCTTAGTTACTGTATCATTTTTTTTTAAATTGTGGTAAAATATAGATGTCATAAAATTTGCCCTGGGGTCTTAAAAGCTTGCAAGCAGCCATCTAAGATACAAGAATTGATCTCTTCCCATCTGGAGCAAAGAAGAGTGAAGAGAACCAAAGACTCAAGAAAACAGTCCAAAGGACTAAAGGACTTAAGGACCACATGAACTACAGTCTCCACTAGCCTGAGACCAGAAAAACTAGATGGTACCAACCGCTCTGACCAGGACCACAATAGTAGGTCATAGACAGAGTGGGAAAGAAACATAGAACAAAATTCAGACTCATAAATAAGACCAGACTTACTGGTCGATAGAGACTGGTGGAACCCCTGAGACTATGGCCCTTAGACACCTTTCAAACTTGGAGCTGAAATCACTCCCTGAGATCACATTATAGCCATACAATAGATAGGCCTATAAAATGAACAATAACACCAGTGAGGAATGTACACTACAGAGCAATCAACTGTATGAGACCTAAAGGGCAATATTTGCCCAGAAGGAAGGCCGGGGCAGGAAAGCTGGGCAAATGGACACAGGGAACCCAGGGTGAAAGTAGGGAGAACGCTGACACATTCAGGGGTTAGCAACCAATGTCACGAAACAAGCTGTGTACAAATTGTTGATTGGGAAGCTAATATGCTCCGTAAGCTTTCACCTAAACCACAAAAAATTGTTCCTCACCTGCCAAACCCCTCCAAAAAAAATTGTTTTTAGCCTCTCATCAGTCTCTTCTGTAATCAGCAGTTACCTGGAGGTATGAGTCTATGTGCCAGGCTCACATATCTGGGTGTTCTTCTTCTTCTGGATCTTGGCTCTGTAATTCTTCACTGCCTTGTTAGTTCTCTGTTGCCTTCACATAGATTTGTTTATGTTTTCTCCTTCCTTTCTTTTTAAGAGTACAATCCAGAATGTGCGCTCAGTACTTTGAACACATCCCAGGGGCCAGAATATTGTCACATGGCTACGTTAGCTGTAAAGAAGGCTTGAGAAGTAGAGTTTTTAGCTTATTGGCCATTTGCCCAACTAAAATTATTATTGTGGCAGAAGAGAGAACAGATATTGAAAGGACAGATATTGAAAGACCTGAGGGAAAAATTTTAGAAGTCCTTCGAAAAATAAAACTCTCCTTCAATAGTAAATTTGAATTTGGAATTTAAACAGACATTTTTGTGGGAGCTGGTATTGAAACAGTACTAGACTGCATATATAGAAGTAAAACATTGGAACAGAGGAAGTTTAGCACAATAGAGATAGAATTAGACTTGTTCTGGGTTTTAGTCCCACCCCCTTAACCTTGTGACCCTGGGTAGGTCACTTAAACTTTATAAGATACAGTGCCCTCATCTGTAAAGTAGGTACTCATCTACCTGCCTCACAGTGTGACAGTTGAACACGATGATGTTTCTGGGAGTACTATACAAATATTAAGTCTTCTATTATCTTAAAGTATTAGTAAATAAATTTAGTGATATAATTGTGAAGGACAGCAGGTAATAACTTTAATACCTCAAATTAACATACATCAGAGCTTCTTTGTAATATCTTTGAAAATTATTTTATCTCAACCCAAAGAGAAAAAATATTAAATTACTTAACCATACTCCTAGTAACACTAAACTGAACTGTTAGTATGGAATCAATGCTTTTTATATATGCACCAGGAGGAAAATATATACAGAAAAAAAACTCAGCATTTCTGTTTGAAAATTGGAAAAAATATATTACATCTTATAAACACTACTGTTTGCTTCTGAGTTCCTTGAGGGCAGCAACCTATTGTATCCTCTCGAGTGCCTAGCACTTTTAAACATAGTAAATGCTCAGTAAATATTAGTTGAGTTGAACTGAATATTAACTCTCATTTATAATTACAAGTCAAAAGAGGGACTCTTTGCCATGAAACAACATCCCGTCCTCCTTCCTCCTTTCACTGTGTCATCTGGGTGCCTGTGTGCAACTCCTCTCCTGTCACTCCTACCACCTTGTACCTAAACTATGTATATATGTATATGTTTTGCTGTTATTTTTGTACAATTTCCAATCATAGCCTAAACTAAATGTTTAAATTACTACAGCAGAGAGAGAAAATTATTCTTATATAAACCTAAAAACCAAACCCATTGTCACTGAGTTGATTCCAACTCATAGTGACCCTATAGGACAGAGTAGAACTGCCCCATAGGGTTTCCAAGGCTGTAATCTTTACGGAAGCAGACTGCCACATCTTTCTCCCGTGGAGCAGCTGGCGAGTTTGAACCCTTGATCTTCCAGTTAGCAGCCGAGCGCTTTAACCATTGTGCCACCAAGCCTCCTTATTGTTTTTTTTAAGGTTGAGTAATATCTGTTTGCATTATCTGAGCATTTTTAAGTGATACTTCAACACAGAAGCTCTGAAGTATTTGACACATGACAGAATTTTTTCTCAAATATGAGTTTTATAGCTTTTTGTCCTTTTAATTGATACATCACCTATAGAGAACAATGTGTTCAAAACTTTACCTGACCAAATCTCATTTTATCATTTTCAGGGTCAGTGAGGACATGAAGTTAACTGACTTGGAGCTAGGAAAACTGGCAAATAATATCCAGGAGTTATTGTATAGTGCCTCAGACATATGCCATGATCGAGCGGTCAAATTTCTCATGTCAAGAGCAAAGGTTAGTTATTTTGATAAAGCTTTAGATATTTTATATTTTATACATGATATAATTTGTTTTGAAGATCTGGAATTATGTCTTTGCTTGTATCGCTGTGTTCCCCATAGTGTATATTATATTTTTAATATGTAATAAAGTTAATAGCATTGCTGGTGTGCCATGTTAGGGAGATGTAAAATAATCCAAATAGGAGAAATAGGAAAAATTACTAAAGCATTCTTTTCAAATAAATGATTAAAGGATTTATTTTTAAATACAATACCTTAATAATTAATTTGAACACTAATATGCTGTTTTATGAGTGTGTGTGTGTGTGTGTGTGTGTGTGTGTGTGTGTGTTTATGGTGTGTGTGTGGCCAGACTTTTATTGATAAATAAGTTAAACTTCAATATTGTGAAATTTTATAGTTTATGGCCTGAATTCATTTGAGTTACTGTATTAGCTTTAAAGAGTTTAGAATCAAATTTAGACTTGTTAAGCTTTTTGTATGCAATTTCTGGGGCTAAAGTTTTGGGAGATTTCATTAAAAGTGATAAAAAATAATTTCTGTTTTAGGCTTATTAAAACTTGTTAAATTGGTTTTATAGCTCATCCATGCTCGATGTTATATTAACTCTTCGTCTTAATTTTTGTGTTATCTTCAAAATTTAGGATGGTTTTCTTGAGAAGCTAAATTCCACGGAGTTCATAACACTTTCTAGATTAATGGAAACATTCATTTTAGACACTGAACAGATCTGTGGAAGAAAAAGTATGTCATTACTTGGAGCACTTCAGAGCCAAGCTAATAAATTTGTAAATAGGTTTCATGAAGAGAGAAAAACCAAGCTCAGGTATCACCATATCCGTTCTATTTGCCAATGTTTTTCCCCTTTTCTTTACAAAACACAGTGTAAAACAAGACACTTGTAGATTTACCAACCAAAAAGCTCTTATAATTTTTTTTTGTTTTTATTAAAGGCAGATTATAGAAATAAAATCACATTTCTTGGCTTTTAAAAGTGAGGTTAGGACATTTGTTTCCATTAGAATATTTATGAGGAGGCTCCTTAATAGGCTGACTTTTTCTTTCCCACTCAAAGTGAAGTAAATTATGTTTCACCACTGTTCTTGGTTAGGCTAAGGGATATAAATAGGAAAATATTTTCTTAAAGTATTGGTACTGTTTATAAATTAATTCTTCTTTCTTTTTGACCCATTAGTGCATATTACTGTCTATAAATTATACCTCAGTAAAGTTTAAAACAAACCCTAATCCTTAGCCCCATTATCCAGAGATAACCATTGTTAACTTTTCGACATAGTTTCTCCCAAGGTGCCTACAACGATCTTTTTTTTTTTTCCATTTTAACAGGATCCCCAGGTGACTTTTTCTTTTTTTTCAATTGTGCTTTGGTGAAAGTTTACGGCTCAGCTTAATTTCTTATTCAAAAATTTATACACGTATTGTTTTGTGACATTAGTTACAATCCAAATGATTTCAGTTTACTAAGGTGCTCAGCACTTTTAAAAGTCTTAGGTGCTTGCTCAGCTCTTTTTTCTTTTCTGTTCAACCAAGGAAGATGGCAGTGAAATATTAACGTTCATCTTCTTTTCTTTCCACTTTTGAATAGCCTCCTCTTAGACAATGAACGCTGGAAGCAAGCTGATGTCCCTGCAGAATTTCAGGATCTTGTTGATTCTATATCAGGTGGAAAGATTACTTTACCTGAAAAAAAATCAGGGGGTATGTGTATTCTTTCACACTTTCTTCCAGTTGTGTATTATGTTTATTCATTTCATATAACTGTTTAATATTTCTTTAATTGGAAATGCCTCTCAAAAAACCTAGAACTAATATTCCCAGTTTAGTCAGTAAATAGGTGACAGGGAAAGTACTTATGGTAATTTATAATAATAATTTCAAATATATATTGAGTGTTAACCATGTCCCAGAGACTGACCCATAAGCTTTACGTACATTACCTTAGTTTATCCTCACAGCAACCTAGAAGGAGGATACTATTACAGCCCTGTTTAACAATGAGGAGATTTGAGCCTTGGAGAGGTTAAGGAATTTTGTCCAAAGTCTTGAATGTTGAGCTGATATTTAAAGACAGCTTTATGTGATTTCATAGCTGTATTCTTAATCACTGTACCATATTGTTGAGTTTAGAGACATGCATACTAGTAAGCTTTTACTTTGTGTTAGATATTGATAACCAAAAAGCAAACCAGTTGCGGTCGAGTCGATGCCTACTCATGACAACCCCATGTGTGTCAGAGCAGAACTTTGCTCCATAGGGTTTTTAGTGGCTGATTTTTTAGAAGAGGTCACTACACCTTTCTTCTGAGGAGCATCTGGGTAGACTCGAATCTTCCAACTTTTCAGTTAGTAGCTGAGCACATTAACTATTTGCACCATCCAGGGACTCCTAGATATTGATACAGAGATAAAAATTACAATTTTACTTTAAAGGGACTAAGTCTAATGAACAAAACCAAAAAAAAATACATTAGCAATCACAAGTCGTGTAATAGTAATATGATAGAGAAAACTATAAAGAATCTTCAAGAAAGAGGACTATGAAGGAGACTGAAAAGGGGAGGCCGGGGTGGGGGGGGCCCCTTGCCGTCAATTTGATTCTGACCCATAGTGACCCTGTAGGACAGAGTAGAACTACCCCATAGGGTTTTCAAGGAGCGGCTGGTGGGTTTGAACTTCCGACCCTTTGGTTAGCAGCCAAAAGCTTAAGAGACCAGAGAAGAAGGAAGAAATCCAGAAGAACATAAAAGTAAAATTGGAGTTTCAAGGAAAGAATTATCATTGTTAACAAATACAGGTTGGGTTTCATATGAAATGGATGTCGTGGCTGGGAGATATTTTTGTATACCAGTTAAAGAGTCGTCACCATGTGATAATAATGTAAGCTGATTTACAACACATCCTGTAATACCAGCTTGAAATTATGAAATTTGTGAAGTTCTTATGGAGAGAGCAATTGCCATTGTTTCACATTTTGTGCACTTACTGAAAGTTTAATATTTTTACACTGAAATATTTTCAAATTGTATAATTCACATTTGTACCGAAAGTAACTACATTTTAATAGTAAGGCCGAGTAAAATACAGATAGTGGCTATTTGTTTGGCAGAAAAGGGATTATTTGCAATTTTAGCAGTTCAGTAGAGTGATGGAAGTCAGATTATGGTTCATTGCTAAGTAAGTGAAAGGTGAGGAGAAAGGTGGACAACTAGTGTAGCCTACTTTTCCAACAAGTTTGGCTGTGAAGGAAAGTGAATGATAAAGTGGTACCTAAAGAGAAAAGAGAAATTGTTATCTTAATCCACTCAGAGAGTTGAGAAAAAAATTTTCTTTAAAGTGGAAGAAACTGAATTATATTTTTATGCTTTACAAGAAGAGGAAGAAAGTTTATACAAGATAGAGGTGAAAAAGTGTGATTTGTCGGGCACAGCTCCTGAAATGAACCAGAGTTCAGGAGAAAGACTACCTCTTCTACCACTGTGACAAGAGGAAAGGGCTTAAGGACAGGTATAAAGTAGATCAGTTCACATAAGGTAGATAAGGAATCAAAAGAATTAAGTATTTTCTTACCTAGTGATCATTTTAGGAGTCCTTGGTGGCACAAATGGTTAAGCACTGGACTACTATCTGAAAGACTGACGAGTCGAACCCATCCAGAGGTGCCTTGGAAGACAGGCCTAGTGATCTGCTTCCAGAAAGTCACAGCCTTGAAAACCCTATGGGGTAGTTCTATTCTGCACAGGTGGGGTCACCATGCGTCGGAATCAACTCCACGGCAACTAACTGTAGATCATTTTCAGTAGGTAACAGTGTTGAGTGGTGGTTATAATTTTTTTCATATTAATTTTATGAAATTAGCAAAACAAAAGCTGAAAGAAAATACTCCAACTATTCTAAATCACTAGTTTAAAATTATAAGACCATTACTCACCTACTCATCCAACTGTATTTGATTGACTTCCCACTATGTGCGGTGCTGTTGTGTAGGATTTTGTCTTAGAAAATTAATAGAGAGATACTCAGGTTTATCATGCATAAGCTTGTTTAGTTTATTGCAAGGTAGTCACGGCAAGGCACACAAGTAAAACCTCACAGCATTCATTTAGAACCGGGGAATCAGAATTAACCGTTACAATTACCAAACCAAAAAAAACAAATCTGTTGCCGTCGAGTCGATTCCAACTCATAGCGACCCTATAGGACAGAGTAGAACTGCCCCATAGCATTTCCAAGGAGAGGCTTGTGGATTCAAACTGTCTACCTTTTGGTTAGCAGCTGAGCTCTTAACCACTGTGCCACCAGGACTCAAATTATAATATTAGTTAAATGGCTAGAGGCTAAATATTTAGAGGTCTCAGGAGGAAGGCTTAACCACGGCTCAAACTTAGCGGAGGCCCCTCGTAGCTAGAGTCTAAGGCCGGTGGCAGCAGGCAGAGTCTCAGCAGGCCCTTGGTCTTCAGAGAGAGTAAGAGCCTAGAGAAAGATCCCTTTGTCTCTGCCTTCTCTCAGTGAGTGAAAAGAAATTCAGGGTTTATATGTGAAATTCTCTCCTTGGCCTCACAGGATAAGGGCCAGTGTGACGTCAAAGAACGATATGTTATGTCGTTCCTCCAGGGTTAGAGATTACCCTAATGTCACATTTTTTTCTTCAGAGTTAGAGAGTAAGGAGGTTGTTTATACTTATGTCTCAAGGATAGTTTACAAAGATAATGTAATGTCTTATTTTATCACAGCATGCTGGGTCAAAGTCAGTTTAACTTAAAGCGTGTTTACCATATTCTTCACATACTTCCATGCTTCTGTATCTAGGTTCAGAAGTTTTATAAATAACTTTCTAATGACTTAAAAACAGATTTCTAATGATTTATAGTTAATGTTAGAGAGCCTCACAAAGGTAGACATCTTTCTAAGTTCATACTATGAGTGATTATACGTATGTATTTTAAAAGCATAATAGTGACTTATACTTTATGGGATTTGACATCATTATAGAAACATACAGAACAGGTGCTATGCTAGTTGACTAAGACATGTTTTCTGCCTTGGAACATCTCATAGTTTTTCAGTACCACTGTTAAGCAAACATAGCAATTTTTTAATTAACAATTGTGAATTTGTGAATGTAGAGTGATTGAATTAACCATGTACTTTTTTTTTCCCCCTACAAAGTGAACCATTTATTTTCTCTTCCTCTTGGAGGGTACCAACAATAAGCGATTTCTTTTACATAACCTGCTTCTGCCCCAATCTTTTTTTTCTGAAAGAGAAGAAGGTATATGTTATTAGAAGTACATTAACATTTTACTAGTTCTAGTGGCACAGTGCTTCCAACCTGTGGGGCTCATCTTCCAGCACTATATCAGACAATGTTCCGTTGCTATTCATAAGGTTTTCGCTGGCTAATTCTTTTCAGAAGTAGACCACTGGGTCCTCCTTCCTAGTCTGTCTTAGTCTAGAAGCTCAGCTGAGACCTGTCCAACATGGGCGACCCTGCTGGTATTTGAATATCAGTGGCATAGCTTCCAGCATCATAGCAACATGCAAGCCCCCACAGTGCAACAAACTGACAGACCCCAGGAATTGACAGAATACCAATTGAGATGTTTCAACAAACGAAAGCAGTGCTGGAAGTGTTCACTCATCTATGCCAAGAAATTTGGAAGACAGCTGCCTATTTATGCCATAATTATGCCTATTTCCAAGAAAGGTGATCCAACCGAATGCAGAAATTATCAAACAGTATCATTAATGTTACACGCTAGTAAAATTTTGCTGAAGATCATTCAAAAGCGGCTGCAGCAGTATATCCACAGGGAACTGCCAGAAATTCAAGCTGGATTCAGAAGAGGACGTGGAACCAGGGATATCATTGCTGATGTCAGATGGATCATGGCTGAAAGCAGACAATACCAGAAAGATGTTTACCTGTGTTTTATTGACTATACAAAGGCATTCAACTGTGTGTATCATAACAAACAGTGGATAACATTGTGAAGAATGGGAATTCCAGAACACTTAATTGTGCTCATGAGGAACATGTACGTAGATCAAGAGGCAGTTGTTCGCACAAAACAAGGGGATACTGCGTAGTTTAAAGTCAGGAAAGGTGTGCCTCAGGGTTGCATCCTTTCACCATACCTATTCAATCTGTATGCTGAGCAAATAATCCGAAAAGCTGGACTGGAGGAAGACTCATTAACAACCTGCAATATGCAGATGACACAGCCTTGCTTGCTGAAAGCAAAGAGGACTCGAAGCACTTACGGATGAAAGTCAAAGACCACAGCCTTCAGTATGGATTACACCTCAACATAAAACAAAAATCCTCACAACTGAACCAATAAGCAACATCGTGCTAAACGGACAAAACGTTGAAGTTGTCAAAGATTTCATTTTACTTGGCTCTACAGTCAATGCCCATGGAAGCAGCAGTCAAGAAATCAAAAGACACATTGTTGCATTGTGCAAATCTGCTGCAAAAGACCTCTTTAAAGTGTTAAAAAGCAAAGATGTCACTTTAAGGACAAAGTTGCACCTGACCCAAGCCATGGTGTTTTTAATCACCTCATATGCATGCAAAAGCTGGACAATAAATAAGGAAGGCCGAAGAAGAATTGATGCTTTGAATTGTGGTGTTGTCAAAGAATATTGAATATACCATGGACTGCCAAAAGAATGAGCAAATCTGTCTTGGAAGAAGTACAACCAGAATGCACCTTAGGAGCAAGGATAGCGAGACTATGTCTCACATAATTTGGCCATGTTATCAGGAAGGATCAGTCCCTGGAGAAGGACATCATGCTTAGTGAAGTAGAGGGTTGGCAAAAAAGAGGAAGACCCTCTATGAGGTGGATTGACACAGTGGCTGCATAACAACGATTGTAAGGATGGTACAGGACTGGCAGTGCTTCGTTCTTTTGTACATAGGGTCTCTATGAGTCAGAACCAACTTGACAGCACCTAACAACAACAACATAGTGGCACAGTGGTTAAGAGCTCGGCTGCTAACCAAAAGGTCGGCAGTTTGAATCCACCAGTCGCTCCTTGGAAACCCTACGGGGAAGTTCTATTCTGTCCTGTAGGGTCACTATGAGTCAGAATCGACTCGATGGCAGTGAGGTGGGTTTTTTTTTTTTTTTTTGGTCTTAATGAATTTAAGGATATGTTTTTGTTCATTTATCCACTATACTTTGTGGAGTTAGTACTAGCTACTCAGCTAGGCATTGGGGGAGTGAAAGGTAATGGATAGCAGCTAATATTTATTGAGTGCTTACTAGGTGCCATACACTATTCTAAGCACTTTACATGTGTTATCTCAGTTATAGGCTCATGAACTAGGCACTGTTAGTATTCCCATTTAAAAAATCTGGAAACTGGGACACAAAGAGGTTAAGCAACTTTCCCAACGTTGCATAGCTAGGAAGTAGTAGAGCTGGGATTCAGAGGCAGCAGATTGACTTTTTTTTTTTTTTGGTGGAAATACACACAGTAAAACCCACTCCATTCCACAGTTTCTAGACAGAATGATCAGTAAAATTGGTAAAAATTTTTTACATTGTGTCAGCATTCTCATTATTTCTGTTCTAGTTGTTTCACTTCCGTTTACTTAATCTCCTTACCCCCAGCCTTCTCATCTATGCTTTAAAACAGCTGTTGACACTTTGGTCTTATGTAAATAGTTTTGTTTTTTTTTAAAGTAACACAGTACTCAAAGGTGACTATCTTTATTCTTTGGGCTAAACTCTTACTTAGTTTAAAGGTGACTTGAGAGGATAGTTTGATTTCAAGATCTGAAGAGCAGTTCATGGTCATAGTCTTGGGGACTCCTTCAGCCTCAGTAGATCCAGTAAGTCTGGATTGTTTAAGAATTTTAAGTTCCCTTCTACATTTTTTTATCAAGATTTTTTCCATCATGTTCCTGATCAGAATATTCAGTAGTGGTAGCTGGACACAATCTAGTTCTTCTGTTCTCAAGGTAGAGGAGGCAGTGGTTCATGTAGACGGTTAGTCCTATAGTCCAGTTCCTTCTCTGATTCTTGGGTTTCCTTCTTTCTCTTTTGTTTCAGACAAATAAAGACCGATAGTTGTGTCTTAGATGGCCACTCATAAGCTTGTTTTTTTAAAAAAAATTTTTTATTGTGTTTTAGGTGAAAGTTTACAGAGCAAATTAGTTTCCCATTCAACAAATTGTACACAGTGTTCCATGACATTGGTTACAATCCCCATACCATGTCAACACTCTGCCCATTTCCACTCTGGGTTCCCCGTTTCCTTTTATCTGGTTTCCCTACCCCTTTCTGCCTTCTCATTTGCGCTTTTGGGCAAGTGTTGCTCTTTTGGTCTCATATCATTGTTCTATGGAGCACATTCTTTTCAGATGTTATTATTTATTTTATAGGCCTGTCTGTTGCTTGGCTGGAAGGTGGTTTCTGGGAATGACTACAGTTCCAAGTCAGAGGGGTATCATAGGGCCATGGTCTTGAGGGTTCCTCCAGTCTCTATCAGGCCAGTAAGCCTGGTCTTTTTTTGTGAATTTGATTTTTTGTTCTACATTTTTCTCCTGCTTTGTCCAGGACTCTCTATTGTGATCTCAGTCAGAGTGGTCACACTTATAAGCTTTTAAGACTCCAGACACTACTCACCATACTGGGAGGTAACATAAATTTCAAGAACTATATTATCCCAGTTGACCATACTGCCCCATGAGACCATGGCCCTAACTTCAGCGGATTGACTTTTGAGACCCTTCTTTCAGTTACTGTGCAATAACATTTCTCTGCAGTATAAAGAATTAAGACACAGTCCTTACATTCAAAAAATGTGTAGTCTCACAAATACAGTGAATTGTGATTAGAAGTTATATCACTCTGAACTTCTTTGCTTGAAAGAGAAGAAGTAGAAACATCACATCTTAGAGCTCAAAGGGACTTGAAACTTATGGAAGCATGATGACTTGCCCATGGTAATCTATTTAATTTTGCTGATCCAGGGTAATAATCCATTCCACTGTTCTTTTAACCATAACATGCTGAATTTTGTCTTATAAGAAATACCACATGCTGAAATCAAGTAACTTCTGGACTGATAATTAAATATATAATCTCTCCATCAAATTTAGAAATTAACTTGTAGTCTGAGAATAATAATAAAAGACAACCAGTTGAAATGCTCATTCTGCCTTTCCAAACTAATAGTAATAATGTATATATTATTTATATTGTATATAATGTACACATATATATGTGCATATATATATATATATTTAATTATTTACGGATCATTTACCCTGTGCCAAGCCTAGAGGATAGGCAATTTGGCAGTAACTGGCCCTACCATTAACTGTTATCTTTACCATTAACATTAACCATTGTTATCTGCTTTTTTTTCCTAACATTTTATTATGAAACTTTCCAAGCCTATACAAAAACAGGGAAAATAGTATAATGACCCCCCTCCCCCTGCCCTCCAATCCCAGCATGATCAGTTGTCAACATTTAGGCTTCTGTTTTTGTTTTTGTTTTTTTTTTTAATTTTAATTTTGGTGAAAATATACACAGCAAAACATACACCCATTCAACAATTTCTGCATATACAATGCAATAACATTGGCTACATTGTTCACACTGTGTCACCATTCTTGCTGTCTCTACCCATATTATTTCACCGTCATTGACTTAGACTCACTATGTTATCTGCTTTTAATGGATCAAGATATTGATGCTCAAAGAGCTTAAATAATTGGTCCAAGGCCATGCATCCAGTAATCGGTATTGCTGGAACTCAAATCTAGATCTTTCTGACTCCAAACCTGATATACATTATTTATTCTGTGCCAAATTGCTTTCCAGGAAGTGGCTATTTATTTTCAGAAATGAGATTAGTTCCAGACCCTAAATAGGCACTATCTTCTTCAACTTTTTCCCAGCGTAAGTTTTTTTTTCCATTACATTGTTTCATCTTGTACCCTTGTCTCTCTCGTTTATTTGCTTTACTATCTAGCTACAGAAGAAAGGAGACCAGCTGAAGTTCTCATTGTCGAGGGACAACAGTATGCTGTTGTTGGGTAAGTGACACATTTTTCTTTATTAGTTGAATCAGTTATTTAAAACACAGGTCTTTTAATTTCCTTTTGATGTGATTTGGAAATTTTGGATTAAAAATTTTAAATCCTACAAGGAAGTTGTATGGATTCATTTTTGTTTATGTATTCTGTAGTATACTGTATCTGTTGGACTACACTGGCTTAACTAAAAGGGGTTGAATTTTTCCCATATAGCAACAAATCTAGAGGTGGATCGTCTAAAGGTGGTATAGTGACTCCATGATGTTGCTACTATCCCAGGCTCATTCTGTCTTTTTTTTCCTATAGGTTTCTTAGTGTATTGTAGCATAATGGTTAAAGTTGTGGGCTCTGGAGTCAGACTGCTTATGTTTTGAATCTCAGGGTCTCTGCTACTCTTTGTGACCTTGGGCAGTTACTCTGTGTTCTTCATTTTACTCATCTGTAAATTAAAATATGAGTAATAGTACTATACCACAGAATTATTGTGAAAATTAAATAGGTAATGCATGTAAAGCATTTAAAGCCCTGCTCATGCAATGGTTAAGCGCTTGGCTGCTGACCGAAAGGTTGGTGGATATATGATTTCATTTGATCTTTACAACCCCTTTGTGAAAGAGACATTAGAGAATTGAAGCTTAGGAGGTTAAATGCTTAACACATAGTGACCCAAATGGAGCCAGAATTCTAATCTAGGTCTAGGTCCCAATATCTAAACCAGCATTCTTTTTTTACTTTTCTTCTTTGCTTTTTGTCACTGTCTGAGTCTTTTCTGAAATAGTCACTCCCTCTAGGAAGAATGGATGTTCCTCTCTTTGTAAATCTGTGTGCCTCTATCATGGCACTTAACTGAGTATATTAGAATTATTTCTGTGTATGTCTTCCTGGTTAGACTCTGAGTTCCTCAAAGGTGGGGATCGTGTCTTACCATTTTTATTTTTCTTGGCACCTGATACCCAAAAACCCAATCCGTTGAGTCGATTCTGATTCATAGCGACCCTATAGGACAGAGTAGAACTGCTTCAGAGGGTTTCCAAGGCTGTAAATCTTTACGGAAGCAGACTGCCATATCTTTATCCCATGGAGCAGCTGGTGGGTTTGAACCGCTGACCTTTCAGTTGGCAGCTGAGCACTTTAACCCCTGTGCCACCAGGGCTCCTGGCACCTAATAAGTGCTCAGAAAGTATGTGTAAAATTTATGCTTTTTCTCAGTCTCTATTATCTAACACTCTGAAGTACACAAGTCCTAAGCTAAAGCCTCCATTCCTTTCTTCTTTGGAGCCCTTTCTTGTTCCTGGTAAGGCAAAGTTTATTTTCAACCTCCCTATAATCTCATCCCTTCACTCTAATTATACTTTTCCTCCTTAACTACCCATATCTTGTTACTTTCCATGTGCTTGATGGAAACGATTATGATTCCCTTCTGGCTATCAGGACAAAGAGCTTTCTGGATCTTTAAGCAAAGAGGCTATTGCCAAAGATTGAACTCCCTGGCTAAGTGGGGGAATATTATGTCTTCTGAAAGAAGATTATAAAAGAGAAGTAGTGGATTTGTGCCCGGTAGACTCTAGGGATATGCATGGAGAGTAATATGTAGTCTGACGATTATGCTATTATAAAGGCTGGACAAACTTTCTTCAACCACTAGTTCCTGATACCCTTCAGACTTTTATAAAACATTGTTTTACTTGGATTTCTCATTTCAGAGCATTCCACTGAACTTAAAAAGAAAACCAAACTAAACCCGTTGCCGTCGAGTCGATTCCGACTCCTGGCAGCTCTATAGGACAGAGTAGAACTGCCCCATAGAGTTTCCAAGGAGTGCCTGGTGGATTCGAACTGCCAGCCTTTTGGTTAGCAGCCATAGCTCTCAACCACTACGCCACCAGGGTTTCCCAGTAATGGCTCGTTCCCCCTTAATTTCAATCTTATTTAACCTCTCAGTAGTGAATCTGTTCATCTTGTAACATGTCCTGCTAATGAGCTGATAACTTTCTCATATTTGGAGAAACTTTCATAACCTACCAATTAACTCCTTAGGAGATATATTGTCCTTAGAAGCCATTACAGATTCTCTTTCATCTCACTAAGAAAATCTGGACTAGGTTCCCTTCATTAATTCAACAGTTATGATTGAGGGCCTACTGTGTACACAATCAGAAACACTGGGTAAGCTTTTTGTCAGTGTTTCTGAAATGGCTAAAGAGTGGGATACCTGCCTTATTGAAGAGGCTTCCCTATTAAGAGTATTTCAAAAGAGTGAGGTGCCTACAGCCCAACATTTAAGGAGGCACTCATTCTCTGCATCGTGTAAGTGTTGACCTTGAAATTGCTTGACCTGGAGAGTGAGTACCTCCTTAAATTTTGCACCCTAGAAGCTTCTTTTGCCTCACCCTAGTTTTGACCCCGCTGCATAGTAGTTGAAACACATAATTTAACAGTTACTAAGATCAGCCCTGATGGCGCAGTGGTTAGGAGCTCAGCTGCTGACCAAAAGGTTGGCAGTTCGAATCCACCAGCCACTCCTTGGAAACCCTATGGGGCAGTTCTGTTCTGTCCTATAGGGTCTCTATGAGTCTGACTCAACAGTAATGGGTCTTTTGGTTTTAAGATCAGTATATCCTCAGAGATCCAGTGTACTGGTAAGTAAGTAGATTTTTATATGCCGAATCAGTTTAATTTTTCATGTTCTGACTACCTACTGGGTCATCTTTCTTTTCTTATAGAACTGTATTGCTGTTAATAAGAATTATCCTTGAATATTGCCAGTGTGTGGATAACATCCCATCTGTTACTACTGACATGCTTACTCGTCTGTCGGATTTATTGAAGGTGTGTATGATTTCATCCCATTATGGAAAAATAGTTGGAAGAAGTAATTCAGTAGGGTGTGACTAATCTTTCAGCTCTAAGACATTTTAAGGTCAAGATATCTTTAAGATGCTAATTTTGTGAAATTTGATTGTGGTTGGATCACAACATGTTATTGGGAAAAAAAGCTGCCTGCTTCCTTCTCATTCCACATTTAGTGAATCCTCATTACACCCATAGAGTTGTTAATGACATTGGAGACAGGAGATGATTTGTTCGTTAGGTGCTGAACATGACTGAGGCCTCTTAGGTCAAAAAACCGGGACTGGTTTCAAATGTGCATGGAAGGAATTCACTGAACTTTACAAAATTCATCTCACTAAGGTTAGAGATTTTTCTTAAATCATTCTTTCAGAACCATTGATGTAAAATGAAAATGTGGTGATACTTTTATTCAGCCATTTCATATTTAACTTCAAGTTGGCCATAACAGGCTTAACTGCTAGAATAGAAAAAAGGTTTTATTTTTGTCAAAACTGCAATCTATCAGTTAATTCTGTCCTGAAGTTGTCATGTTTTAGTGAGAAAGATTTTTTTTACCCTTTCGCAAAGAGGACTTTCCCAATAAAAATGACTGAAACTGAACTCGTTTTTTGAATGCAAATTAAAGATTAGTTTCAGAGCAATTGGTTTTTAGAATTTCTCAACCTTTTTCCTTACTAGACAATAACTATCATTTAGAAAGATTTTTTTTTTTTTTTTTGGTCTTTACATAAATAGATCTTAATTGCTTCTACTAGAAAATTCTTTTCGTCCTTGAATGACAGGAATGTATTTTTACAACTGTTAACACATTGCCAGTATATAAGAACTACTTTTTAATAAATTGTTATTGTTTTTTTTTTTCTCCTTCCTTTGTTAGTATTTCAATTCAAGAAGTTGCCAGTTAGTTCTTGGAGCTGGTGCCCTGCAAGTTGTTGGACTAAAAACAATAACTACAAAAAATTTGGGTATGGATTCTTGCATTTAATTCACATATCTGAGATGCTACAATGATGTTGTTACACTCATTGTGTTATTATGACTAATTTTTTTTATAGCCCTAACCAAAAGGCTCTAAAAGTAGCTACTTCATTTTCTTTATGTATTATCACAAATGAAAAATTAACCTCTGGGGAAATGTTATCAGGGATTTCCATTATAACAAAAAGTATAAATTGTTTGGAAATTGCACCGCTCTAGAAAGTGTTAAGATGTAATGTGTATGAAGTGCTTTGGGGTGAAAGGTATCTAAATATCAGAAGAGGACCTGTTGTCCCATTAACTTTCTCATACACACACAACTTGAGTCCATTGGGAGTATTATATTGGAAAACATCATGTTCATTACAGCAGTCAGTACCAAATGTTTTTCTTAAACAAAATGAAATATGTTGCACTCTGCCGCTGTGCTCTTCTTCTATGAAATAAACTGGGGTCTGTATAAAATTGATATTTTTCAATTAATTGGATATGTAATTAAAGCCAACTAATATCTGTTTTTGTTATTCCATGATATATCCACTCCCTGGATCTTCAGCTCTTTCTTCACGCTGTTTGCAGTTAATTGTGCACTACATTCCTGTGATCCGGGCTCATTTTGAAGCTCGACTGCAGCCTAAGCAATATAACATGCTTAGGCATTTTGATCATATCACTAAGGTACTTTTTCTTATGTTTTCTACTGGAATTTCATAAGTTGAATTCCTTAATTGATGAGTAATTTATAGATGTGTCCCAGGGACTTTAAAATATGATGTTATTTCTCATTACAGGACTACCATGACCACATAGCTGAAATATCAGCTAAGCTCGTAGCGATAATGGACAGCTTATTTGACAAGCTATTATCTAAGGTAATGATTTATGAAAATTATTAGTCTTTGCTTAAAGGCATTTGTGACTTTTTATTTTATAGAGAATCTTTTATAAGTAACTTGAAATGTAGCAAGAAAATCTAAATTTTCAGAAGATAGTTACCAATTGGTAGAATATTATTGATTTTTTTCAGGAAAATGTGACCATCTGCTGTGACCAAGGCTACCCATATAGTTGTCTAACAAATCAAATTCTTCAGGGTTTAGAAAACAACTCAATAAAATGTTCGGATTACCCAAACAGTTGATATTCATCTTCTAAGTTGCAGGGGGGAGGGATGGCATAGGGATGAGTCCAAGGATGGTGGAAACGCTATGCAACTGTAATTTTATACTAGCTGTATTAAAGAATATGTCCCTTCTTCAAAACAGATTTTAGTCTGAGGGCCCTCCAGAAGTAGAATCAGAAGGACAAAGATCAGAATAGGGAAAAAAGTAAATAAATTATTTGAGATAAAGTATTGCTTTGTTTTCCAGAGTAAAAATGCAGAATCTGAGATGCTCCATTATTTTCCTTATAGATAATCAGTTTCAATATTTGTTTCATTTGCTTCTCATTCCCCAAATTCTCAATTACATTGGGAGGATTGTATTAGCTTTCTAGAACTGCTATAATAAAGTACCATAGACTGAGTGACTTAAAACAACAGAAGTTTATTTTCCATAGTTCTGGAGGCTAGGAATCTGAAATGAAGGTGTCAGCAGGGCCATGCTCTCTCTGAAGGCTCTAGGGAAGTATCCTTTTTGCCTTTTCCTAGTGTCTGGTGGCTCCTGGCCATCCTTGGTGTTTCTTGGCTTGTAGCTGCATGTAAAAATGGCATGGGGAAGGTGTCTGACCTCCTCTAACTTACAAGGGGGAAGGAAAATCAAGATCAAAAGCCCAAGACTGATTCCTGTGAGGTGGGGGTCAAACATACTCCCTCTCTCCACCATCTTTACCAATTCTGACACCAGCCGTCCCTTCCATGGTGCTCTCTACTCTTCTCAGTTCGATCATTCACTGCAGTGGCCACACAGAACTTACAGAACTTACAGAACACACAGAACTTACTCACAATTGTGGGGTTTATTAGGGAAGTAACAGTTACAGTTCAGGCTCAGGAACACTCAGGATACAGTTCTTCCATCAGGACAGCCTCCTCCTGGCCTTAGGCCTCTGCCCAAAGGCACTCAGCTTTCTCTCCCGGTAGGCTGGGAAGCCCACCGTGCTGTCTGCTGCTAGGTTTCTCTTGCAGTCCTCTCCTGCGGGTCTCTCCTTCCTTGGTGGTGGTGGGCTTTTCTCCTCTCCTGCCTCTGGGATGGTTCATTTCAAGGCCAGCGGGATGGCAAAACTGACCAATCTCTTTGGTGGGCTACAATTACCCTATCACACAGTCCCGCCCGATCACCTGGGCGGGAGTTACAAGACCATGGCTAGAAAGGCCACACAAAAGCAGTCCATTACATTGTACTGTGTCATTCCAGTCTCTGCCTCCATCTTCACATGACCTTCTCTGTTTCTGTCTATGTCCTCTCCCCTTGTAAGGCAGTCATTGGATTTAGGGCCCACTCCAAATCAAGTATGATTTTATCTTGAGATCTTAACTAAATGTATTTGCAAAGACCCTTATTCCCAAATAAGGTCACATTCTGAAGTTCTGGGTGGACATAAATTTGGGGGGACACTGTTCAACCCACTTCAGAGAAAGTGTCTTTGGAAAAATGTCATATAATCAGCTACAGTGGCTTTTTGCACTATTTCTCATTCTTTTCTTTCCCTAAATTCTTCAATCCGTGTCTTAGCAGACATTTCCTAAATCGAAGGTTTGAAGGTTTATTCAGATTATACTTTTTACCCAAGAGCATGTTTAGAGGAACCTTATAAAGCAAGGCACTTCGATTTGCTTTTCCTCCTAATTGCATTCTTCAGATTCTGAGATAGGGGGCACATAAAAATCATAAAAGGGGAAGATAAAGTGGTGCCCATTCACATGCAATAAACATGTGCCTCAGCCTCTGAAGACGATAGTGATCAAGAAGTGCTTGGAAAATAAGATTGCATTTATGTAGTTCAACAGTTCTCAAGTTTTTGGGTCCCAGAACTCCTTTACACTCTTAAAAATAATTAAGGACCCCAATTTTGTTTATACAAGTTGTACCTATCAGTAAGTACCACATTAAAAATTAAAACTAAGACATTTTTAAAACACAAGAATATACAAACACACAATTCCATTAACCTTCAGAATATCACAAATTATCTAAAAATTCCCACTGTTCAATCATGAGAGAATGAGAATAAAAAAATAATAATATCTTACTTACTATGAAATTTTTTTTTGCTCCCCTTAAAGAGTTTCTGATTTCCAGGGGTCCCCGGGCCACATTTTGAGAACCTCTTATGTAATTGATAGATAAAATGGATGCTTCATGGTCTTCTTTGAAGAAGTTTTAGGAATTTATACTTACGTGCAAAAATACCTGTACTATGGTATGCCTGTTAAATTTCTAGTTTTGGTTGGAGAAAAATTATTGTTTAAAATAAATGCTCTGTTTTCTTGATGGGTGCCAAGTACAAGGTAAATTCAAGTACAAGCTAAATTTAAAAGCATTTCCAGTCCACTCATTTCCTTTTCGATACTCGGCATTCTTCTGGGTATAAAAAGTCAGTAACACGTGTCTGCCCTCAAGAAGTTTACCATCTAAAAGGGAAGATGACTGTGAGCAGTGTAAAATAAAATAAATGTTAAATAATGGAACCAGTAATAGGCTGTGCAAAACAAAAAAAGTGACTTTAATCAGTTATTTTGGTCATCCAGACTCTGGCTGGAATCCCCCCCCCCGCCCCCCGCATAGCCAAAAATAAAGAGAATTATTTAATATGTTTCTCATGTCTTCATCACCTGTATTTAACAGTTATTAACATTTTGGGTTTTTTTTTTTCTGAAACATTTTAAAATAAATTTGAGGCATTACGATATTTCATCCCTAAATATTTAAGTATTCATTTCTAAAACCTAAGGGCACTTCTTTAATAACAACAAAATATAGCCACACTACCATTTTCACACCTAACAACAAAATTAATAATAATTCCTAAGTATCGTTTAATACCTGTCCCTATTTGAATTGTCGCAAAATGTCCTTTACAATAATTTGTTTGGACAAAAGCCTCTACATGACCCACACATTGATTTTGGTTATGCTGTCTCTAAAGTCTTTTATAAACTAGAACACTGCCCCCACCCTTTCCTTTTTTATGCCATTGATTTGTTGAAAAGTGTTGCTAGACTTTTGCAACTTAATGTTTTCTTTACCGTCTTGCCCATTGATGACGACTTCTGTTACCCCAGCATGTTATTAACAAGTCTGTCTTTGCTGCTCCCTGCCCTATTTGCTTTCATGAATTCCCCAGGGGTTTGACCCTGTTTTTAATTCATGCCAAGATAGCAGACAGTGTTTGGTTTGAGTTTGCCTCTCAGTTTTTAATTTTTCATTTGCTTACCTGAAAATTTAATTTTGAGAAAGACGAATGACACAGTTGTATTCTAAGAAGCTAATAAATAAGAGCGCCATAGCTTGGGTAGAATGAAGTGTTAAAGTCTAATTGTACTATTAGCTAATGTCCCAACCATCATTCATTCATTTATTCATTATATATGTTATATGCAAAGCATTGTATTAGGACGCAGAGGGAACATGAAGTGAATAAGCCTTGGATCTTGTCCTCAAGTAGCAAAATATCTAGTAGGAGAAGTTTATCAATAACTGTAACAGAAGATAGCATCACAAGGAGAGAGTTGATTTAGTGCCAGAGGAGCTTTTAATGCTCTGAGGGAGATGGTTGCCAGGTGGGAAAGGAGATCTGGGAAAGCTTTATGGATGAGACATGCATATGAGTTTTGCTTTTAAAGATAGGTAAAATTAGGGCAAATGAAGTTGAAGTTAAGAGATATTCTGGGCAGAGATAACAGCATGAGCAGACACGTTGGTAGGAATAAGAAGAAAGCAGTTTTGTGTTAGGATTTTGGAGTCAGGTAGACCTAAGTTCAAATCCAAGCTTTGTCACCTATTAGCCACTGAAGGATGGCCTTAGGCAAAGTATTAATCTCCTAAGTGTCAGTTTCTATCTTTAAATGGGGTAATAATACAGCCTCCCTCATAAGATTGAAGTGAGGATTAATGAGATAATACATGTGGAATGCTTTTATCATGTCTTTGACTATGGCAAGTTCTAGTTTTGCTGTTGTTAATAACAACAAAGGTAAGTAGTTCAATTTAGCTAATGCATTAGGCTGGGCTAACAAAGGAGTGGGAGATATGTTCAAAAGATAGTAGAGAGCTTTGACTGCCAGTAGCAAGCTAACCAACTTAAGTTAGATTTATGGAGGTATAATTCGTTGTTGTTAGGTGCTGTTAAGTCTACTCCGACTCATAGCTACTCCATGTAAAACAGAACAAAATGTTGTACAGTCCTATGCCATCCTCACAGTTGTTGCTGTGTTTGAGCCCATTGTCGCAGCCACTGTGTCAATTCATCCCGTTGAGGGTAAAATTTCCATTCAGTAAAATTCACCCTTTCTAAGTATATAGTTCAATGAGTTTAACATACATATACAGTAGTGGAACTACTACAGTCAAGATATAGAACAGTTCCATTACCCCTAAACATTCCCTTGGGCCTTTTTGCAGTCAAGCCTCTCCCCACATCCCTAGCCCCTGGCAACCACTGATCTGATTTCTGTCTATAATTTTGCCTTTTCCAGAATGTTCTATAAATGGAATCATATAGAATGTAGCCTATTGTGCTGGACTTCACTTAGCTCAATGCTTTTAGAATTCATGGAGGTTGTCTCATGTGTCAGTACTTTGTTTCTGTTTATTATAGTGTCCACTGTATGGATGTACCACTGTTTGTTTATCCAGTCATCAGTTGATGGACATTGGTGTTGTCCCCAGTGTTTGGCTGTTATGACTAAAGCTGCTATAAACATTTGTGT